TTTCAGGACTCACATCTTCAAACTGATGCTTCAGTTTAGTGCTTTTATGATGCTTTCATTTGTGCGTTCATTGTTACATATTTGCTTACTGGATAATGTATGCTCAAAGTAGATAGCTCTCAAATTGTTTGTTTCCCCTTGATTCTCTGTAGACATCTTTGCATCTTTATTGTGTGTCTGTTGTGTACATCTTTGAGTGTTTGCATCTGCTCTCTTTACTGATAGAGGGGAAAAATAACCTTTTCAGCCAGTATGTTTTGGTAGTCCAAACTCCTTCTTGCCAGAATGCTTTCTGCTGTGATGACTTTTCAATTTTTTTAAATTTATGGCATGCCCATTTTTGAAATAATAATTAAATCACTCGTTAGACCTAATTGATGATATAAACAGAGGTTCCTTTTTTCCCATTCAAGCTACTCTATGAGACTACTTTTTTTCCTACTGTGATATTCCTATTAATGTTGCATCCAAGTACTTGTAATGTTGTTTAGACTGAAAGAGCTTCCCAGTCTGAGGTATGATCAGTTGTGTTCATTTCCTATGCTGTCACACATTCCCTTGAAGTGCTTCACTGTCCCATATGGAGTGTTGTCAAGAAGCAAAACTTTCTACAAGTAGAAAAATGAGAGATTTCAACATTTCCACGTGAAAGCCCTACCACAGCTTTGGGAACTGTGCGTGTGGCTTTTACTGTGATGAACAGACAAAGGAAGAACTGTAACTTCTTTGAACTACTTTTCAGATAACTCTCAAAATCTAGCAGGAGATTCAAAATGCAAGAGGCAGTCTTCTCTCTTGCAGTTTCTTGCTTGCTTTTTGTTCACTCACTGCAGATTCTTTGAAGTCAGGAGCATCTCCAGTAAAGACTTAATATTTTGTCTCTTCAGGTTATAAAATGTTAAGCTTTTGCTTAATTTGGCTTCTGGGTAATTCAGACTCTGGTATAGTGCCTGTTCTTAAGTATTGCTCTTCATTAACTATTTTAAGAAGAGTGATTATTATTTTTTCTTTACAAATTTAATTTCGGTGAACGGGATTGTGGCATAGATCATTCAGTTGGTTAAACTACAGTTGGAATAGCATAGATTGAGAGGTTCTACAAATTCTCGAAAGGGATTAATTTTGTGGTTTTAGAAAACCTCATGTTTAAATTCAAATTATTATGTAGTCTACACTGGCTGTTAGTTCTAGATATTTGTGGGTACAGAATGTAGATTAAGTTGCTTTTATACTTTTTAAATAGAAATCAAAGACAATCGAAGCTCCTGCAAATAGAAAACAGGAAACTACATTTTTGTACAGACAAGGTCATTGCTGACTGCTTGTCTGGAAAATGGCAGTATAGGCTTGTATTTAAAGAGCTTTTCAGCTGTATCAACTGATGTAGGAACTCCCATCAGCTGAGGTTTTGCCTTTCAGTCATCTTCTGAAATTACTTTATCCCTGATACTGCATGTACAATTGTGGCAGGAACTTCTGGCTTTCTTGTAATGGCCTTTTCTTAGTAATCTCTGCTTTCTGCTGGCTGTTTTTTCCTGCATTGATATTTAGGATTCTTAGATTTTTTGTAAGAATATAGATTTTTTTCCAGAGCTGCAACAGATATTAGAATGAAATTTGTTCCACAGCCCACACCCTGCATTTGAATTTAATGCTGGGATGATCATACCCTAGTAAATGTAGCTGTCACTCTGGACTAATTATCAAATTTTCTAAGCCATGAAGTCAAGTCTACAATTGCAGGCCTTTTGCTATGTTATGTCAAGCTGGTGGAATTGACTGTTTAGCCACAGTTTATAACAACAGTAGTTTGTGTAGTGTAGTTATTCTACTCTTTTTTTTTTCCTCTTGATTTCTTCCTGCACAGGCATAATCAGCTATAGGGGCAGAACTGGTTTTGTGTTAAACAGCAACACACAGCAAAACAAAACCTGTTGAATAAACCACCTAAGAGGCTTCCATATGAATGACATTCCTAGCTGCAGTCATCCCAGGAGAAGGTGGTAGTTAAAGGTGATGGTGTCTTTTCCCAGATGGATGTGGAAATGTCAGTTACAATGCAGATCTGTTACGAAATAAGGGCTGCGTAGTAAACAAATGGGTCAAAACTCTTGTTATGATTAAAACAAACTTTACTTAGTCATTGTACACCTTTGCATTCTAGTATTTCTTAAACTTTTTCCTCAGAGAGAGAGGGGATGTGCTGTTAGGAGATATTGTAGCAAGAGTTTTCAGTCCATCTTTTTTTGGTTAGTATCACTGGGGGTGCATTTGTGATCTCTCATCTCCACCATTTCGGTTTTCTTCCACTTCCTGTTCACTGCCCATATCAGAACAGGAAGCTGCTTATCAGAAGCCTGACCATTTTACAGCAGTTCTTTTTCCCTGCTGTGGTCCCCCTTCTCACTCTGAATATCAGGGCCTTCAGGTGAATGCTCTGTAACTACATTTCTTACTCAGTTCTGTCACCCTTTTCGTGCCGCCTTCTATTACCTGGTATGAGAGAGTGACTTTCATTCCCACTTCCTTTCCTGATAATGAGAATTAAGACAGGCAAATTGAAGCAAAAGCATTTATGATGTTGAAATCTTTGCCTTTCCTTAAGGAAATTTTTGGAGAACTACCTTTCTCAAATCTGCTGGTAAAGAATGTCAGGTGCTCAGTTATTTCAAATGTCATCACCCTTGAAATTAATAGTAGGTGTTAGAGTTTGTAGTGGAGTGAGAGAAATCTTATTTGACTGCAGAAAGACCTTTGAGAGGAGATGTGAGTGCTGGTTACTGTAGGTGGGTGGCTTTAAACAGTCTCATGCTGTCAATAGTTTGGGCTGAGATCTGGTGTCCTGTGGATTGTGTTGCCTTCACAAAGATGTTTGCATGACACTGCAAGTACCGTCTTGCATTGGGTGGAGCTTTGTGCATCAGAGGCTTGGAAATCCCAAAAAGGGGAGTTAATTCTCCAGGGCCCTTTGAAGCTTTTGCTGCAGGGCTACAGTGACCAGCCCTTTGGTCCTTCAGCACTTTACTTGCTGGTGATCTCTTTGTGAAACTTGTCACCTCTTCTTCAGCTGAACGATATCCAAATTATGATGGCCCATCTTCTCTTTTTCCTTCTCTTTCCCTCTGTGGCAGATGTAGAATAACCCCAGATTTATCCCCAGTGTGGTTTGTGAGCTCCCTGTCATCCAAAGAATACTGACATGCAAGAATACTTGCATTTGAGTTTTCTGCCAAGTGCACCTTCAGTGAGTATAAGAGTATCCTCTAGATAGATTGTTCACATAAAATAGCCTGTGCTAAGTCAATTGATTGATCCAGAGTAAAGTGTTCCTATTGAAGGGCTCCCACAGAGTAGGGGGTGGTGTGACACTGCGCTGCTGTATCACCCCAGTGATCTGCAGTTGTCTGGGCTCACTCCTTTGACTGAAAGATTCTGTCTGCACTGGAGTCACAAGCCATGAAATCTATGTTGAGAACAGTTATTACTAATGTTTAATTCATTGCAAAGTTTAGAAGATGTAGGTGTTAAGGCGATTTTGCATGGGGGCAGAATCATTGTAGTTCTTAATTAAAGAAGTGTTAGACTGGGGTTGTCACTCCCCAGCACAGGCTTACTGAGATGTCTGGTTTAGTGCTCATCATAATGTTTGATCATGTAAAGCCATGACCATTGACTGTTTTCCTCATTTTTTGAAAGGTGTTTTGGCTCTTCGTGTATGGAGGCTGTTATTTTTGTGGGAATATAACTATAGCTTTACATTTACTTTCTGTAACACACAGTGGAGCTACAGTGCTGTTTGGAAGTAACACTTTGCTTCTCTAGGTGAATAAATATTGCTTTAAAATCTGACCAAAGAATTGTATTTTTTCTGTAATAAATCTTATTTGAGAAATGAGCATGTATATTGAGTAACATTCATGCATAAAGCTACAGTTTAATGTGATAGTTGGGACACAATCCTGGGGCTAGGAAGAGGAGCTCACTTATCTTCTGTTGCTTTATATTTTCCAGTCAGGCTTTTTTGAAAGGTCTGTCCTCCCTTACTCTCTGTCTTTGTAATTTAGGCGAGAGGCTTTGAGAGAGTTGCAGATTGATTGGGTAACTCTGAATCAAAAAGCTGTGTGTGAATAAAATAAGGACGGTGTGTGACAGTAGTTACTTCATTCAGAGTCAGTTCTGATGATGCCCTAAACATTCAGTCTAGATAAGAACAACCTACCCTTTCTGTAAAGCTCTGTGCTGGTAGTTGTGTCTTCATTAGTAGACCCAGTTCTGTAGAGATACCATACCCAAATCCATTCTTGCTTTTGTGCAGCTTCAGTTGCTTTTGGAGTCTCTTCAAAATTTCTGAATAGGAAGTGAAAAATGACCTTGTATAGTTAGTTCTAAAGATACATGAGCAAAACAAGTTCATCTGACATTGATCAGCTTTCATGCAGACAAATAAATGATAATTTTTAAGTGGGCTAGCTAACCTTAGAATCACAAATGCAGCTTTGCCTTAGAAAAGGTGAGAGATTAGAAAGGCCCAGGCTTCAAGTCCTCCAATACTTAATCTCAGATATGTTGATCATTTTTGCTAAAAAGATTTTTTTAAAGCATTCATTTGTAACAATTCCCCTTCTATGCATCATTCCTTATTCAAGGACCTTGAGATAGCTGACTTTGAAGGCGCTATCAGCAAATTCAGAGCTTTTCTTCCCATTCAACTTCCTTTTCCCCTGTTCTGGCCACTTAATTTAATAGCAAGTGTATATTTGATACAACTTCCTGGTAGATTTTTAAAATTAAAATGCCAGTAGCTATGTTATTTGGAATTTACACATGTTTGAGAGAAGACCACTGGAATGTTGATACTTTCACCCTGAGATAAAAAAGATAGAATACATTTATTGCTGGGGATGTTTTTACCTCCCTGCTTTGCCTGTCTTGTCTCATAGCGTAGGACATAAGCAGAAAACAATGACAGTTGTACAGTAAGTTCTTGTTTTATTTTGCAGGTTTGTTTTAATGTGGAAGTGGATCCTACAGCATAATGTAAATCAAACAAGCAAAGGTGAGTAGGAGTTTTGTGTTGGTGGGTTTTTTCCCCAAAAATGCCATTTGCATATACTGCTAAACCTGCAGAAAAGTGGTCAGTGACAATTCTCTTGAAATTTGTATCTTGATTAATATAATGTATGTGTATGTGCTGTAATGGTGCAGTGTTACTTCTACAAAACTGAAAGAGGAACAAAAGACATTTCCCCCATTGTTTAATATTATGATGATAATAATGTTTTCCTTCCATAAATTATTATAGTTAAAAAGCTATCAAGATGTTCTGCTAGCTGTTGAGACAAAATTATGAGCACTTTAAATAATTAGTTCTCGACATACTATCCTCGTTTCAAAGTACTGAAAGTGTACTTTGCACTGTAAAAGCAGCCTGTTAAACTTGCACTTAATGTATTAATAAATAACTGCGTGGGAAATTTGACCAACTATCAGAATAGCATTTCAAGTTTCAAACAATGAAATTGTGTTGGAATTTTGTCCTCCCTTCCTGTCTTTAGGAACCCATTTGCAAGCTATTTGAAAGACAAAGTTTATGGAGATTTACTCCTGGTAGAACTTAAGTGTTCATTTGCAATTGCAAAGTGTCCATTTAGGAAAAATTTCTTGTAACTAGCATTTTCCTCCTTCCCCCCACCACCTTTCTCTGTTATTTTGAGAAAAAGAATTAAGAGGCTTATCTTTTTCTCTCCCATTTACTTGCTACTCCAGGAATAATTAGAACTATAAAATTAATCTTGTCTCCGTATAATTATGTGAAACATGTAACAATGAACTCTAATCCATTTTAACTTGAGTCTTTCAAGAGAATCTTTAGGTAAGGCCCCACAGGTCAGTAAGTTCTCTCCTTTGGAGACATGGCATGATGGACTCAGCTGCAGAGATCTCTGTAACAAACCAAAGCTGTCTCCTCAAGTGTCCTGCTTGCTGTTTGACTTATGTGCCGTCTCAGAATGCAGCTGCTTGCAGTGACTTGATATTTTGAAGAGGTGAGAGGGAGATCCCATTTGCTTAAATGAGTTTGTTCCTCAATTCCAAGCTTCAATTATTATGTAGACTTAATATTGCCTTGAAATTGTAGTATGTACATATTAAAATAGACATGAACTGCTTTGTTCATATCTTCTGTTCCACTAAGACTTCTTCAGAGCTGTTGCTGTCAACTTTAAAATACTGATTATAGAAGAGTGCTTTGTGGGGAATTTAAAATAGCTTCTATTGAGTGCTGATCTTTTGTATAATGTATAACTGATTCAGGACTTTTATTGTGAATTGTCTTCTGATCTATGAACAATTAAAAATAAGCTCTACCACTGTGTTATGCATATACTTACGTGTAGAAGATGTTTTCTGCCTTAGCCTGACTTTGCTGGCTTCTGAAATGTGCTGCTTTGAGAAAACAAATGAATGTAACTCTGCAAAAGGAAATACTTCATCTAAGGATGAGTGTAAAACAGAATTATGGCTAGAAAAGAGACTTGAATTGATAGTAAAATTCAATAAAGTTCAGTTCAGTAAACTGTTCCTTGTGCCTTCTAATGCTTTCAGTACTTAAAGCTTGCCGTTTATGCTCTGTTTCTTTTTAATTTGTGTGGTTATCTAATTGCTCATTTAAATACAAAAAATTAGTTTAAAAGTGTGATGTATAAATAACTGAGTGTGTGTTTTAAGCATGAAGTCCTCTGAATGAAACTCTGAAGCCCTTTCATCTTAATGGTGGTTATCTGTGTTTGGTAGGGAAAAGCTGGTCTCTGAGGAGAACACCTGTAGGATTGCATTCACAGCAAGAGGGCAGAAAAATGTGTAAAAGAATAAGTGGAAACAGTGTAATGATGTTTGATCAGTATTGCTATTGCTTGGAAGAGATCTTGAGGTTCCCAGAGTTCAGTAAAAATGACAACTGAATAGTCTGTAAGTCAGTGAAATTATTGTGCTTTATTAGGGAGCAGAACACAACCCAGATCCAGTTCTGTGAATTTGTAGTGTACCACAGCTGCGTTGCATTGCAATGTGTATTGCTTCTTCTAGTCAGGTGACTGAAAAAAACCCATAGAATAGAAGAGCTGAAAAAGGTTCAGAGAGGGGCAGCGGGGATGTCTGAAAGAGTTTGTCTTGTGTTACCCAAGCATTGCTCATATTTGGCAGCTGCAGGAACGTTTTTCAGTCTGTATGTTAGACACGTGGGGAATAACTGGATTTGCAAATCCAAATTTCACCACCACTTGGTGGCAGTACCTGGCTTCAAAAGGACTTGTCTCTGATCAGATAAGGTGGCTGATCCCGTAAAACTATAGGTTAATGAGGGGTAGATTAGTTTTTAAATTTCTGAAAGTTAGTTATGTGTTTTAGAAATGAAAATACTTTTTATTTAACCCACTGGAAGGATTTGCATTTGTATGTCTCTATGGAAAATCTAGCTATCATGTCTAATACACAATTTAAGAGTATTGCTTGTGTTAATAGTATTCTCAGAAGATGTATTTAATGTTCCCCAGTTGAATTATTTTAGCATTTACTTCTAGCATTTTGCTTCAGTTGAGTAGTTTCGTTCAAATAATTTTAGAACATAAAATTTGCTTCATGGTAGAATTCTTTATAGTGCTGCATTCTCCAGTTTAATAGAGAACTGTCAAAGCTTTTTTGCCTTATGAAACATTCTCTACATTTTTACTTTTTTATTTATTCATGTAAATTTTAGGAAAAGATTCCCCAGTGGATTTTTCTGTCAACAAAGCTAGTAAAAGCTTGTGCCCTTACCCATAGTCGCCTGGTGACTGTGCTGATTCACTGGTGTTTGGGTCCCCAGCCTTTTAAACTGGATAGTGAAATGGTTGATGAAGTGTGAATGGAGGAACTTGGGAGAGTGGAAGAAGGAAGCAATTATTTAAACTGGCTTTGCTTCAAAGAAAATTCCAATGTAATTCCAATGAATAACCCAGTAATTTGACAGTATATGGTGCCATGTTGAAAATACTTCCTCTTCTCTGTAAGCCAAAATCTGCAGTGCTCAGCAGGTCCTTTAATTTTAGTATAATGCCCCATGTAAGGACTGTAGTGGTGATCTTGAAGTCTGGAAGAGTGCAGATACTTTCCTACACCTGGTGTCTTTGTGAAATGTCTCACTTGGTGTGACTGGAGAGGAGCATTGCTGGTGGCTGTGGGTTCTGTAGGGAGGAAATACTTTTATTGTATTGCCTGAAGAGCCAACACTGAGAAGAAGCCACTCTTGAGGTGTGACACATCAGGAAGGTATTTAAGTATATGGTGGTGAAGAAGAAGGATTCTTCCTGTGTAAAATCTAAAATCGTAGAAATACAACTAGAAAATGAGGTGGGACTTGGAAAATGCGTGTTCATAATTTTGAGTGTGATTATAGCACTCTACTTAGTAATAATGTTATTTTATTTAGTGAGAGAACTCTGGAAAACAGGATCCCTTGGAAGAGAGGTAGAAGGGAGAAGAGCATTAAATTATATATATTAAATTTGCTGTCAATATATTCTACATAACTAGGGATAGAGAGAACATGCTTTTACCGTATTCCTAATAATTTCTGTGTCATTTTCTCCAGCTGTCAGAATGATAAATTCAAAGTTGGTAGTTGGAAACCATTTTAAAAATACTTTCATACCTATATTGAAGTTAAGAAGAGAAATAGTGTGTGTTTTCACAGAACAATAATTTTGTATTTTTAATACTTCTTTGTCTTTATTGGAATCCTGCTAGTCATTACCATGTATGTCTGCATTTAGGACAATTCAAACTATGTTGCACTATTAAAAATCCAAACTAGAGAGCTGCAGGAACATGAAGACAAGTACCTGGCTGTCGTCTGTGAACAGGGCTGTGGTATTCTGGGCAGGAGTTACAAAGCCTGTAGGGTTGCCAGGCAGTGGGTGACTGTTCTTAAGTTACCAGATTCAACATCTTGGCTTTGTGTTCTGGCTAGTCATCTTTTAGAAATACCTAGTTCATTTTCACTTGCCCATTAAACTGTCTTAAACTGCTGCATGAGCAGTTAAAACCAGAGGAGTATTTTCTATAGTGATACATGTGGTTCTTGTCACATTTAAATTGTACTGTCATTTATTATTATTGATTTCAGTATTGAATTTTATCATGATGCCCCCCATTGTGAAAAACTGGTTATTTCCCCAAGCAAATCAATACTAGAGGAGTAAGATTAAGAGTGGTTGGTGGCAATAATGGAATTCTCTTTTGTGATTTCTAATTGTATGATGGTTATTCTTAAGTTTTGTTCAGTTTTCTTTCGCATGAGATGTTAACATATCATTCTTAGATGTTTTAGACCAGAAATCGCTTTTCTGAAATTTTGACATTTTAAAGGAATTTTTTGTTTCCTTACTGTTCCTGACAGCTTTTGAAGACATTGTTGCATTAGGAACTAGACTTAAGGAAAATAACTTTCTGAAAAAGTGTGCTTTGGGTTTGATCTTCCCAATTATAATCTCACTGAAAAGATAAGCTGCTTTTGTCATGACTGCTCTATAACTGAGAATTTCTCTGTGATCACCTTTTTCCACAGATATTTGACAACTCAGTGAACTTTCTAACAGTATTATAAAAGGTTATACTGTGGATGGCAGTAACTTTGTATTTATTTAGGTATAATACAAATGTTGTATTGGTAATATTTCATACTGCTTAAAAAAAATTTTATATGGCGGTCTAGTTAGCTATAGGAGTTTTCCAGTGTTCGTATTGTTATGTGAACAGCTGTGGATTTGAATTGTATTGAAGATAACTAGTTTTGAATGGAACTCTTCATGTTGTAGTTAGATTAATAACTGTGTACTGTGTGTAGAGTAGGTGGGGAGGGCAGTACTCGTGGTGTTAGGCATATTAAACAAGCTGTCTCTTCACTGCAGAGGTTTGAAAAAATGCAGAAGTGTTCATTTGTAGATTTCAAAGCTTAAGTAAGGTGATCTACAAATAATGTTTCAGCTGTGCAGAAAGAAATGTATTTTCAACAACTGAATTTGCAAACACGGAAGCTGAGGGAAGGCAAGGTGAGTCACTGACTCACCTCCAGTTGTCAGGCTTTGTGGTTTTATTTCCATCTGGAGGGTGGAGTGCGATAGCTTTTTAAAAAAAAATAAACTGGAAAACAAGTAATAGGTATTCTTCTAATTATCAGAGTATCATGATTTTATTGATTTCGGCCATTAATATTGCTAGATAATACCCAAAGCCCCAGAGGCATAAACTCTGTGCATTACTATATGGAGGAGGCAAAAATATTATGCAGCTGAATTCTAAAGTTGTTCTTTTTTTCTCAAGATGTGGCTGGTTTGTGCTGGTACACTACCAGTTCCTCTATTACTCTGTACAAACCTTTGTTTTCCAGAGGTTCTTAAACCTTCCTCTTTTGGCAGAAGTTCTGTGTTTGATGTTTGCCATGATTAAGGTTTTAAAGCATAGACTGATGGTGCAAAATGGAAGGAGATGCTTTTTTAGTCCTGTACCATGATGTACTTAAACTCTATCTGGTCTTCTGTTTGTTGTCTAAAAATCTGTGACTTTGGTTCCATCACCTTTAATACAATCTATCACTTGAGAAAGCTTTATTACAGGGACACTTGTGGAAAAATGGTAGGTTTTGTTAGTTTTCTCTATTTACGTAATGAAGTCTCAAAGAAGAATCTAAATGGGAGCAGTGCAAACCTGAAGCACCTTTCCTCTGTCTTGAATATTTGAACAATCCCTTGAGTGTCCTGAATATTCACATATCTGCTTAAAGAACTAGACTTATGAGAAGTTATTTAGCACAGGACAAGTATGTTTTTGCCTTTGTTACAGCACTGCTGAAAGACACTGGATTTCTTCAGTTTCTTTAATTAGGCTGATGAAATTCAAACCATTTAGGAGATGGCTTCTAAGTGTTTGTGCTGCTTAATAGTTGCTCTGTGCTTTTAACTCATTGGCTCACAGTTATGAATTTAGTGAGAAACTTGACATCAGAGCACATAAAGGCACTAAATGCTTTTCACAAACTCAGCCAAATTCTTCTGTCTTAATTTTCGGCTCCAGTGTGCTTTCAAATTTATTGTAAATCCCTATGAAATGACACTGGGCTTGCACTGAGGTGTAAGCTTTACTGAGCTAGCATTGCATGAAGGCAGTGCTCCTAATTTGGTGTGTGACCCTACTGCATAGTAAAGGTTGTAGTTATGAAATAAGAACTTGGAAAGGTCGTAAACCTACTGGTAATAAATACAATTAATAATGTACATAGAACAATGGATTTAAGTACATTCCTATCAAAAAGAATTATTAATGAACAGAAAGTGGACAGCATAGATCTGATGACAGGAGGGTTGCATCTAATCTGAATTACTGAGTGACCTAGGAAGCCTGCTTGGAGGGATTACCAAATAATTATGTTAATATGCAATTATCACCTCATTTCTTCTGTAGTAACCTCAAGATGTAGTGTAGTAAGGGTGTTATAGCAAGTGCTGATAGTTTGCAAAAATACTGATGTTCAAGATTTTTTAAGACAATAAGATTAGCTTAAGGCATTTAAATTATGATCTGTCAGCTTGAAGATAGATCTGACCTTACACTTTTTTAATGCTCAGACTGTCTGGCCACAGGCAGTCATATCTGCAGAACACATTATGATTTTTAGAACTGATACTTTATGAATAAAAACAGTATTTAAAATTAGGTAGATTTCAAATCAGTTAATAGAGAGTGGAATGTGGCTTAGCTGAATAAATAATTGGTTTCTTTCTACTTTTGAATATGAAATAATTTCTGTATAGTAAATAGCACAGCATGTAAACCAAGAATAACGCTGTTAAGTGCATTGCAGTTATTCTTAGGCTTAACTGAATAATTGAATTTAAATAATTGAATTCAACCTAGGCTTTAGATAAAGTGTGTTTCAAAGGTAGGAGCTGGAATTGTGTATACTTGTGTAGGCTTTACCATACACTTTCCATCACCATTTTTACATGTATATATCTCCTAGGCATATTGCACTAGATGCTTAAATAAAAATTAGTTCAAACGTCTAGTTGAGGTACTATAGTCCTGGTAATGGATATGATAAGCAGTATTTCAAGAAATTGGAAGTTTGATCTCAATTTTTAATTTTTCAAATACACCAAGTATTAAATGCTCTATATTTTGACACAATTAATAATTTTGTATTCCTGATATGGTATAGAGAAGATAATTTTAAAACTCTGATGGAAGCATGCGAAGTGTCTTGCATAGCCTTGGTTACATCTTAGTTACAATGAATGATTTTTCTTTTTTTTCTCAAGAGACAAGTTAGATGATAATATTTCCTCAAAAAACATGGCATTGTGTCTTCAGTATACCTGTCATTGTTACTGCATAAATTCTGGCATGTGGAGTAGATAATGTAACTGAATTATTGCGTCTTAGTTCAGTGTTACCACAAGACCAAATTATTATAATTTAAAAGTACATTTTCTGTTTTCTTTAATGCCACACTGTTAAAACTGTTAACTTTATTGTTGTTGTCCTGCACAAAAAATAGTTAATTGTACCAACTTGATAGTTGGAAAAATAATAATACATGATGATAAGAATAAAAGTGATAATTAGCTGAAAATTATTAAAATGTAGCAGTGATATTATTGATACAGTAAGCATTTCAGGGTTGATTCAAAGACTGAAATCTGTAGGGATACCTGTTTTATCACAGAAGACTTCTAATCATCAATAGTTCCCAATCTCCATAAATACACAGTATGGAGAGGAGTCTCTTATAAGATTGCATGAGGTAATGCTTTAGATATCTCTGGTAACTCTGAGGAGAATTTCAGTTTAATGGTGACCACAGGGTGTCTTAGCCCTTTCTTCACTTCAGCTTTAATACTAATATTCATTAGCAGTATGATTTTGTATGTAGAACAACATAATTTTGTCTTCATCTTGTAAACCTGTGAGCAGTTTTGAGACGACGTTCTGATAATGAGGATTGCAGGCTCCAAGCCGCACGGTGTTCTCAGTCTGCCTCCCCGCTGTTCAGGGGTACCAGTGAAGTTGCTTTAAATGGGCAGCGTCTGTTCTTCCTCTGAACCCCTCACACCACAACAGATGGGTGGAACTTGGAACATGGAAGGTTTTACCTCAGAGGTGGTAACAGTGAAGCCACTCATTAACACTGAATTTACCACTTCGTTAGCAACGTTGCTTCCTGTTGAGCAAAGCTAATACAGGCTCTCAGGTTGACTGAGCAGGCTTTTGTCTGCTTCTGCAGCAATAAACCAAGGAAAATGCACATCTTCCAGGCAAAATTGTCTTACTCAATTTCTTACCAAGGTTTTGTGAACAGTTTTATACTTTGCTGCCTGATACTATATGAAGCCTACATTTCTGAGTTGAAAAATTGCTGGAGCTGTTGTGCATCATTGTAGGCTTCACTTCTTTTAATTGACTTTTGCATTACTGATTCTTAGCACATGTTTGCATTGCCCATTTCTAACTTAAGGAGGTGATATAAAGGTTCCTGCTGGGTGGTGCATTATCACCATTTTAGGGTGATAGCTTTGGATGTGATCTTATTGGAAGTCGTTATTATAGTGAAAAATGACCAGTCTCAAAACAGCAAAGCAAAGAAAAAAAATCTAAGAAGATTTTTTGGCAAGATGAGGAACTGGGTGTCCAGTAGAACATTTGCGTAAAGGTATGTTATAGATAATAATACAATGAAATATTTCACACACTTCAAACATTTATTATGCCTCTGATGTGAGCATTGCTGCATTTCTAAATTGGCTAGTTCAGTGGTGGAGTAACAAGGGAAATACTTTTGTAATTACTTAATTTTTCATTGTATTTGTGCTCCAAATAGAATTACTTTTATCTGCAAAAGTAAGTTACCTTACATTAAGGTTTGTTTTTTACAAACTCAGAAGAGGTTAAGTGATTGTTTTGTCCTTTTGCTGATTTGAAACAAAACAAGTGCAATAAAATAGAATTTCTGTGATGTTGTACTTAGCTTTGAATTGTGTGGATAGCTGTCATTCCGTTGGGTTTAAAATACTGGACATATTTTAAAATGTTATGTTTGGAGATGAAAATTGTTTAACTAGGTTGTTTTCTCTCCTTAGGAAAAAAGGATGTCCAAAGTGGTCTTCCTGGATTTCGATAAAGGACCATTGCAGGAAGCCATGGATATTAGTTGTGAGTTATAACATCTTAATTCAAAGAGTCTAGGTAATAACTCCTTTTAACTGAGTTCCATTCAAAATGTTAATTAGTAACTGAAACTATGTGATTGCAGGAATCAAATCTCACAAAATATCAAAGTGAGTAGTACTCTCTAAGGGTAAAATATGTGATTTCTGTAAAATATACATGTCCTGACTCCCAGGTGTTGTAATGCCTTATGCTCACTGTGTTCTGAGGACCTGTATAAAAAGTGAATGCCAGAGTAGACTAAAGTTTACATTTCTGTTGGTCACACATTGATTTTCTTGTGTAGGCAGCTCCTTTGTGCTCACTAAGCATTGAATAGATGATTAGATGTATGAGTAAGAGTCACTTGTAGAAAGACAAGACCACCCATGGGGAATTAATATGCAGTAGTTCTCTGTACTGGAAGATATTGTTAGTGTCATGCTCTGGATTCAACACAGTGACTTCTTCTGGTAGGTAGATCCTAATGAAATGTTTTGTTCTTACAGTATTTTTCCCCCACCTTTGATAAGATGTTGTTTAATTTGCTTATCATTTAAAATAGCCTTCTAAGCAAATGGGATTTATTTGTTTTAAAGCAATGAGGGTCCTTTTGTAAGAAGGGAAATGGAAGACATCTAGTTTCCTCAGTGAGTTTGATCCTTTGCTGTGTCTGTGTCACTAATCAGATACTCAAAATCCGCTTCATTGTGTTTTTCCCTTCTGCAGGCTTCCATGCAGCATCAGGTCAGTTGTATGGAAGTACTTCAAAAAAAGTGCTACCTTGAGAAATGTAAAGACTCTTTTAGTTTCCTAAAGAAAGTATGTTAAAAAAAAAAACAACAGAATTGCTAGTAGATGTCTGGGTAGCCTTTACTGCTTACTTTTACTTCTGGAGAACAACTGAAGATAATCTATATTTACGTACATATAGAATGCATTTGCTTTTGTTTTGGCAATCTGATTTTCCCCATCTTGCTTGTGTGTAGGTCTCAGGTTTCTTTGAACTGGGATATTTGTCAGTGACTAGTTTGCTGTATGGTTATTCATATTGCATAGCAAAAAATAGTGGGTTTTTTTCTTTCTTCATTGGTTCACTATAAATATTCTGGATATCCTAAATGAAAAGTAGATTTTTGACAAGTTCAAAACATCTTTTTAGAATACAGTGTGAAGAGTGATCCTGAAGAAGAGCTCTAAATTAATGTTGTCATTATTTATTTCTGCAATTGCCTGATTTTTTCTTGTTTGTTTTTAGTGTAAATGTACTTAATGGATAGACCAGCAATATGGATGATTTAGAGACAAATACCGAAGTCACTGGTGCTAAAGAAGAAGAAATCCTATGTGATGATAATTTTGTATCTGAGGAAGAAGGTGGCATTCCCAAACCAGAAGAGAGTGACACATCATTTCAGAACAATACATTGACTCTGACTGAGGAGCTATCAAGGGACAGATCTGAAAAAGCCTTAAGTGGAGGCCAGGCTTCTCTGTTTATACACACTGGTGCTCCTACTGTTTCTAGTGAAAACTTTATGTTGTCTAGAGGAACTGCTGTTAATGGACCAGTTTCACACTCCACCTCAACAAAGACTTCCAATATGAATAAGGGCAGCATTTCATTAACCACTGGACAGCCTGGAGGTCATCTTGCAGATTCCTGCTCAACTTTGACAATGGTTCATGATCTGCAGCTGCCTGCGAAGACTACAACACAGAAATCCAATCAGCACCAGGTTTTATTTTTGTTACCTGATGTAGCACATGCTAAGAACCTGACTCATTCCATTAAAAATCTACCTACCTCTGCTTCAATTGGTTGTGATTCACAGAAAACAGTAGGAAATAGTGTAGATAGCACTTTAGTAGACCAAGTAGAAGTTTGTGAGGATGATAAAAATTTACTATTAAAAGATGATTGTGTCGATACATTAACAAGCATTTCCTCAGGTACAGGTGGCTTCGGATCGGGATGTGATCCCAGCTGGGATCCACAGAAAGAGTTTATACAGTTTCTTATGACTAATGAAGAAACAACAGAGAAGTCTCCCGTTCACTGTAAGGTAGGGCTAGAAAAGAAGCGAAAAAGGAAAATGGATGTTAGTAAAATAACACGCTATACTGAAGACTGTTTTGATGATACCAGTTGTATTCCTAGTAAATCAAAACTGTTAAATGTTGAATTCTTAGAGCAGAATGAGGAGCTACAAATAGTAGAACCACAGAAATACTCACTGAGTAAAGTAAAGCCCGAATCTACAGATGAAGAGCTGGAAACTGTTGATGGTATCCAGCAGCTCATTTATAGTCCCACTAGTAACTGTGCAGAAGATACTTCTCCTGTTCACACTAGCACTTTTCTATCCAATACTTTGAAAAACAAATGTGAAGAGAATGATTCTGAACCACCATCTACTTTCAGTACTGATGAACCATCGTTTTATCCCTGTACAAAGTGCAATGTGAATTTTAGAGAGAAGAAACATCTGCATAGGCATATGATGTACCATTTAGATGGGAACAGTCATTTTCGGCATCTCAATGTCCCCAGGCCCTATGCGTGTAGGGAATGCGGAAGGACATTCCGAGATCGTAATTCCCTTCTTAAACATATGATAATTCACCAGGAAAGAAGGCAGAAACTGATGGAAGAAATCCGTGAGCTGAAAGAACTTCAGGATGAGGGTAGGAGTGCACGGTTACAATGCCCACAGTGTGTATTTGGTACCAATTGTCCCAAAACGTTTGTGCAGCATGCAAAGACCCATGAAAAAGATAAAAGATATTACTGTTGTGAGGAATGCAATTTCATGGCTGTGACAGAAAATGAACTGGAATGCCATCGAGGGATCGCTCATGGAGCAGTAGTCAAGTGTTCAATTATTGGTAGTGACTTGTCCCAGAGAAAAACTCAGAAAAAGGCATCCTTGAAAGATCCTTATTTAGGATCCTCAAGAAAGTCATCGACCTATATGTGTAAGCTGTGTCCATTTGCTACTTCAGCTAGAAGCATTTTAAAAAAACACATGGCATATTTGCATTCAGGATCATGCCTTGATCCCTTTGGTAGCCATCTTAGACTAGAGAAAAGAAAAGGCAGTATAATAGAAGAATCTTTAGATTTTCGTAGCAGGACAAAACAGTTGATCAGACATTCTTCTACTTTTCCAAAGAACTCTGCTTTAAAACAGGATGCAAAAAGATCATTTGGCTCTACTTCACAATCCAGTAACTTCGCAAAACTTCACAAGAGACCCTACAGGATACAGAAGGCTCGGAAAAGCGTTTCACAGTCATCTGTAAGTGTGTGCAATCTAAATTCTACAAACAAGAACTTTTTTATTAGAAATAGCATTGACCAAAAACGTAAATGTTTTCATCAAGCAGCAAAGCAGAAAGCTAGTGCCAAAAAAAGTAATTATTTATATAGACACAAATATGAAAACTACAGGATTATTAAAAAATCTAGTGACTCTTACCCTTTGCATTTAAAAAAGGAAGAGTCCAAATCTGTCAATGCTTTGCATTTATTTTCTTCATCAAGTAATAATTGTTTGGTCATGGATTCAAATAGCCTTGATTGCAAAAGGGCAGAAGGCTGTAAAGATCATAGGCATGTAGCTGTAAAAAGAGTGGTTAAAGAATCCAAGAGGGAAGGCTCTGTTACAGGAGATGATTTGGATTGCTATCCAGATTTTCTGCATAAAATGACTGTTGTTGTTTTACAGAAACTAAACTCTGCTGAAAAAAAAGACAGCTATGAAACGGAGGATGAAAGTTCATGGGATAATGTTGAACTATGTGATTACACTACACAGTCTGTGGAGGATGAATCTTACAGTGATATTAATCAGGAGCATGTAAACCTATTCCCCATATTCAAAGGTAAAATGGAAGATAATGAAGCTGGTGATAGATCTTCACTTGGTTATGAGCAGAATGATGGCTTTTATTTTGAGTATTACGAAGATGCTGAGGGTAGTAACTTCTTGCATGATTTGCATGATCCTCAGAATTTAGAAAATGTAGGATCAGCATTGCCAAAGCATAATTCAGTTTTCCACTGGACTGATTTGTCGCTTGAAAAGAAATCGTGCCCATACTGTCCAGCAACCTTTGAAACAGGTGTTGGCTTGTCCAATCATGTAAGAGGACATCTTCACAGAGCTGGACTAAGCTATGAAGCCCGTCATGTTGTTTCACCAGAACAGATAGCAACAAGTGACAAAATGCAGCATTTTAAAAGAGCTGGAACAGGGACTCCAGTTAAACGTGTTAGAAAAGGTAAGATTTGGTTTTTTTATGTGGGTACGAAGTTGGGTGGACAAAGGGATTTATTGAGCACTGAACAAGGCTCGCTTTAGCTTCTTGTCAAGCCTCTCTTCTTGTGATTTGCAGTTGTCATGTTTAACTGTATATAATTGTCAAAAAACATTGTAATTATTTTCTTTGTAGCGATTGAGAAATCTGAAACTTCCTCTGAGCATACATGTCAGCTGTGTGGTGGCTGGTTCGATACTAAAATTGGATTGTCTAATCATGTGCGAGGACACCTGAAGAGGCTTGGCAAAACCAAGTGGGATGCACACAAGTCTCCCATCTGTGTTCTGAATGAGATGATGCAAAATGAAGAGAAGTATGAAAAAATCCTAAAGGCTTTGAACAGTCGCCGTATTATTCCCAGACCATTTGTTGCTCAGAAATTTGCATCAAATGATGACTTTTTATCTCAGAATGTTATACCTCTTGAAGCATACCATAATGGCTTAAAGACTGAAGATATATCTGTGTCTGCATCAGAGGAAGAAGGGCTGAGTTTCCTAAATGAATGTGATGAAACAAAAGCAGTACTGCATGATGAAAAAAGAAATCAGTCACTTACACTGATAGAACTCCTGAAAAACAAGAGGTTAGGAGAAGAAAGGAATCCTGATATTTCCCCTCAAAAGATTCATAATCAAACTGCAAGAAAGAGGTTTGTTCAGAAATGTGTTCTTCCATTAAATGAAGACAGTCCATTGATGTATCAGCCACAAAAAATGGACTTGACTATGCAGTCAGGTAAGAAGGTGTTTCTTGACAACATTTCCAAAAAAGTCATATAATTCATAGAAAATGTACAACTGCAGAGTATTTTATTTGGGATTCTGTTCATTTAATTCTTGTTTCATTTCCAGAGGACACTTGGCTGCGAGAGGTAGCACAGCAAATTTTTCTGACTTGTTTTTCCTAAAGTGAAAAAACCCATCAGCAGCACTGAAGGGTTTTTGCATGGAATATAGTTCCTGTTCTGCATATGCCTGGGCATGCAAATTGAAAGTGAACCCAAAGTGAGCCTCAGTAAAGGAAGAAGACACATCCTGCAGTAAACAAGTTGAAGTGTCTATGCATATTTGGTAGACTAACAGTTCTGAAATGTTTGGGCTTGCAACCCTGTTTTTGGGTGGTAAAACAGCTGGTTTAGGAATACTGCGTTTAAGTCTTCAAGGTTTGTGCAAGGCAGCATTTGCTCAAACTAACAGAACTGTTGATACCATTATAAATGCATAATACTGCAGATTGGTAAATCACTGTCAACTAATTTTGATGGTTTTAGGCAAAGATACTCTTATAACATAGATTGATTCTTGTTTGTTGCAAATTGTGGCTGCTGTGAGAAACTCATGCTTGCTTAGGGCCTGTCCATCCTGAGTGACAACCTGTGCTGGGTCAAGCTTTGCTGGTATGCAGTTGTAGCCAGCAGTTTTCCAATGCACGGCCTCTGACCAATAAGGACCTAGATTGTCCCTCCACTGAGAACTGTGCTAATGAAACAATTCTGCAATCAACTTCCTAGCTACTCTGTATACTAATAGAACAGGCTTTTAGGGTGATGTTTTTAACTTACTTGTCACATGAGAATTATTTCTAGTCTTGGGGAACTCTTACAACATCCCTTTTAATGTGTATGTAGAGCTTGCATTTACCGGTTTCTTTGTTGGACACCACCAATGCTGCAGGATTCTCAAGACTTGAGAGCAGGATCTTATTTTTATACTCCTGACTTTTTTTTTTGTGCTGTTTCTTTTCTTTTTATTAACCAGGTTTGTAAAACTGGCAGTGCCTATTACTTTTTCACCTGTATTCTTTTCTTTTCTTTAAACAAAAAATCCCAACAATCTGATGTGCTCAGAAGTTCTTTTAGGGGCTATAAAAGTGTGTGGCAATAAATTTCTTAAGAAGAGTGGCTTTCTAAAATGACATAGTAGAAGTGGAAAAGAATTGCATTTTATGTCTTCTGTATGTCTGTGGTTGTCCCTTAAGACAGGAGATTGCTTAATAAAGGAAGTGTATCTTTGACAGGTTTAATGATTTGAAAAATAATGCTCAAGACTAGTTTGCCAAACCTGACACTGTGTTTTGCTTTCTGTGTAATATTTACTGCTCAATACTAGGTAGAACCTGTTTGGTTATGATGAACAACCAAGTAAAAATAAACATATGCTTGCGTAGTACTAACAGTTCTGAATGGGGCCCGATAGTTTTCTGTGGCTGAGGTAACAGAATTTGATGACTAACGCACTGTGCCAGTTGAGTTAATAAGAAAATGTTTAACATCAAGTTGAAAATCTTCTTTTTTTCCTAAAAAAGGCAAATATTCCTAATTCTGGTTTTAGTTTTATAAAAGCTTTTACCAACAGGTGTTCTTCTTCTGTAACTTGCCTGGAAAAACAGCATGTCTTTTGTGGGCTGCTGGAGAATAGCATTCTTTCTTTCCTGCAGAGACTTTTCAGCTGAGTAGTTTTAGCTTTTTCATTTATTCTTCTAATTTATTAGTAGAGAACCTGAAATATTAGTTCACCAAAACAATGTATCTTTTATAAAATGCAGGGAGAAATATGGTGAAGTTGAGCAGGAGATAAGTTATAATGGTTTCTTTGTCTGTAAGTGAGGAATTCAGTATCATTTCATTGTTTTCGTGTGATAAATAGCATGTTGCTTTGTTGATACTTATTTAGCACAAAGATTTTGGCAAAAAAACCATTCAAATCATTTAGTTTCATTATCAATTGTGCATCTAAAGTAATGAATAGAAAATGCACTGAACAAATGTTTTGCCTAACAGCTGCTCACTGGTGTGTTTTACCACCTTTTTCTCTGAGCCTTCAACAGCAGCCTAATTTTAGCATTGAGTGCTTTAGTCTTACGGGTAAAACACTTTAATTACCACTTTGTCAACTTGACTTTTCAAATTCTCTTTATTGGAAATTCTGAAAGCTCTGAAATTTCTCAACAGAATTGTGCTATTCAAATTGCAGGACTGTATTTTGGAATTAGAGCTTCATTATGTGGAGATCTGTAAGAGCTTGGTAGTAGGTATTAAATGCAGAGTAGCCTACTGGGCTCAAGTTGCCTCCTTTCTGTTCTTTTTCAAATAACATGGTTTGGCTTAAAGCTGTAGGTGGAAAACTAATAACGGTTAACTTGGATCCTTCTAATATACTAAACAATTGCGTCAATGCAGTGAATATATTTTAAACCATCTTTATTGCAGAAAACTTTTTACAACGCTTTGAGAATTTCATTTTTTGAAGAGAGAACTGGATTATAGTTTTCTTTTGAATGATAGGTATGCCTGTGAAGCTTAGAACGTGTGTGCATTGCAATACGACGTTTACAAGTGCTGTTAGCCTGTCCAACCACTTACGCGCTTATGCACGAAAGAAGAGTGCTGGACTTTTGACTGGGACAGGTATGTTTTGTTACAGATGTAAAAGCAAGTCTGTCTATGATACATTTTCTTCATCAGACTGGACAAAAGCATATGTTAATTCAAAATAATTTTGAAGCCTCTGCCGGTAAACAATTAATTTGCCATAAAACTTCAGCAACTTGTAAGAAAACGTATGTTGCTGTTGTCCACTCTCATGTCTGATTTTCATTCTTAGTCTTTGATTTTGGATCCAACATTTAAGGTATGTAAGCAAAACTAAGAGATGGTTGCTTAAATTCATTATCCTATGATATCGCAACTTCCCAACCAGATAGTTGGCCTTCAAATGAAGCGTTTCAAAGTATCTCAGAAATGAGAGCAGTGGGGAGGAAAAAGGCAACGATACAACAAGTAGTTTTTACTGTCTAGTACATACAGTTACAAAGAATACTTCAGTAAAATAGGAAAAGCAAGTCATTTTACACTCTGTATATTTCTAACAACATATCATATGCAGTTGGTTTCATATCTTGTTTGGCTCACAATCCAAAAACTACCTGCTCTGCCATTGAGTGAGGGTAGTACAGTAGCATTTGGCACTGCTATTAATATTCTTTATTAAAACACACTTCATTTTGAAATTCTTCTAATATGCCATATTTTGATTTGTTTTCAGAGACCTGCAGCTTGCTTGGCTGTAGGCAGTTTCTGAGTTTACTTGGATTATTGCTGAGATTAGTGGGACTTCACATGGTCAACAGCAAATTGAGGAGCAGAGATGCAATATAATGAGGAAAATTTGGAGATATGAAGCCTGAAATATTCTGTAATTAAGAAGGGCAACCCTCAGTTTTCTGTGTCAACAAACACAGACTTTGACATAATGCTCTTGGAAAATGTGTAATCCTTTTTTGAGCTGCAAATGTAATTCATTATGCTAAGAATGACAAACTGAGTAGCAGGCTTTCTCTGTAAAAGGCTAAAAGTAATATTTTTGTAACACAGGCCTGTGGCTGCCAGGTCTTCTGTTGCTTTACATTAGTGCCATAACAAAGGAGATTTGGAAGGAAGTCAGCAGATACAGTAATACCTAACATGTAGAAGAATATGCCTTTAGTCAGTGATTCTGAAAATTTTCATATTTATTCAGTAGAAGGCTGATAGTAGTGAACTTCATTTACCACTGCTGTGATTTTATATTAGTCCTGTGGTAAGTTCCTTTTCTTATAGACTTCCTGAGGAAGTATTTTTCAATAGCTGTATATTTAAATTGCACATTACTAACAGTGAATCACTGAAGGAGACACTGGCAAATAGGATAGTACAGAGATTGAATCCTAGACAAGCACTTTGTACCTAGCTTCCCTTTTGCTGAGTGGGAAAAGTGAAGGAAGCTGGTTTAGGTACTTTAGGGTATTTTTGTTTGTTTTCTCTAAGAAACGTATTTTGCTAGTGAAGTAGTTGCATAGTCATGGGAACAGATGCCACTTTTCTTACAAGAATGGAAAGAAAACTCATGAGTCTTCTATCATTGGACCTAGAAGTTTGTTTTGAATTAGGTTGGAAACAAAATGGGGTTAGAAACGAGGTTTAAATAAAAGGTTAGAAACAAAAGTTTGGGGGAAAAGATGTTTTGCTCTCAGAAGCTGGAGCTAAGCCAGATAAATAACTTATACCATGGATAAAGGCCTCTCGCTGGAACCATTGACTTAAGGAGTCAGTGTTGAGTTCTAGCTGTAACATCATGCAACCAATGTTTATCTGCAGCAACATAGTCATTACTCTGCTGCAACTCTGTGAACTTTGTAAGCTTTGCTCAGTGACTTCTCACTCAGGCAAGCTTAATGCAAGGCTTGCAGACCAAAAACTATGCTTTAAACAGTTCTTCTGTTTGCTATTCCACTTTATAATACAAGTTTTGTGAAGAGAATTATTTTAATGCAAGATTTCACTAGTACACACTAGTTTTAAAGCACACACAACTACACTCTTGTTATGAGTGTTACTCTTGATTAGATCTCAGGTTTTCTTATTAAAAGATGGTTGTGGTTGAGAGCAATTTTGAGATGTCTTCAGTTGGGCCTCAGCTACAGCTAAACCTTCAGTGGTCTTCAACCATTGTATGGAGACATTGAGAACATATTTATACATGTTGCTTCTCATTAAGCCTTTCTTACGTCTTCTAAAGCAAACATAACTACCAAAAATAAATCACATCAGTTGAATAATTATCTCTGTTTCTTGCTGTAATAAAATAATGTCTAAACATGAACACTTGATTATCTGGCAGTTGATATGGGACCTGTCTAGGCACTACTATTTATTAGGAGAAATAACATGAGAAATACAAGATCCCTGCATGCCGCCAAAGTGAGGCCTTTCCCAGCATTACATTAGCTTATGTACTAGTCTCAGATTTTCCATTTGTCTGCACGTGTTTTTGATATTGACTGTTACCATATTGCTCTTCCAGCAGGTGTCCTGCTTCTTCAGTCAGCAATGTCATCATATTTAGTTAAATCTTAGCCTATTTTTCTTTTCAAATGCAACTCGACAGTTTTAGCAGTATAGTAGACATAGTTAAGCATAATGGTAGCTTTGGAGAATGGACTGAAGAAAAACGTCCTAGAAGTGCAAGTTCCTAGGCTGTTGGCTGTTTGAGGTTAATCTTTATTAAACTTTATTTGTGCCTATACCAATGCATAAGATCCACTGTAGAACAAATACCTGTGTCTTCAGATGTCTGGCTGGAATTTTTTTTGTTGTTGTTATTCAGTCCAATTTTTAACAGTGTAATTGCTCATCTTGAATAGATGTTAAATTTCCTTTTATGCCTATTTTGATGTATAGCAACACATTGGTGTTTCTCATAGCAGGTGATCAACTTGTTTCTTTCTTCTGAGTATCTTCAGAGCATTGAACAAACCGACACAAAATCTTCAAAATGCATCTCACTCTTCTTCGTACAGTTGTATATTCAGCTTCCTTTCTTTTTTTCTCTCTGGGCTTCTCTTGCTCCCTCCTGCCCTGGCTCTCCCCAAGTCTCTTGATTCTTTTCTTGAACCCTGGCTTTTTACATCTTCTCTTTGTTGACCCTGTTCACATACTCAGTCTTTTCTTACTGGCTTTCATCTTCTGGAAATCACCGCTTTCTTCTTTGGTCTCTGCTTCTATAGGTGGAGACTGCTTTGTCAGAAGTTTGGGAGGGAACAGTAAAGTACAGAGCAAGGAGTCTGGCCTTCAAGCCAATGGTGTGACTGAGGTAGTGGTTCATGAGGGCTGTTACGTGTTCAGATAATTTCAAATGTTGTTTTGTCAAACTTATAGCTTTGGGATGTTTGTGGTGGAAGCATATCAAGTATGCAGGAATCTGAGATCCACTGGCTTTGTGTGTCATTGTTCTGTGCTGTTACAGCCATAACTAATCAACTGGCATGATGAGCTCATTTTCAGCATCTTAGAAAATCCTACAGCGAGCAAATGATAGGAGGGGTTTATTTAATGTACTTCACTGTGCAGTAGTGATGAGGATAGATAGCAAGTGATTGAATTTGAAAAGTTAGTGACTAAATGTACAAGAAAGATAGTTCGTTATTTTTTACTTGGCAGTGTTTTCAAATGTTTTAGTTCCATTTCTGTGTCAAATTATTCAACTTGTTTTAGCTTATGTACACTTTGACAAAAGTAATGAAGCCTGAATAAAAGACCCAGCTTCAGTTTTCCTGAAATAAGAAGCATTTCCTGTTGGGGACATCAGGAAGCAGAGCATTTTAATTTGGAACTGCAGACCAAATGTCATGGCATGAAAGGGCATCTAATTGTGACCTGTCTAGTTCACTTAGGCATGCTCATTGGAACTTCCCGTGTCCATCTGCTTGTAGTCTTTCTTGATAAGTCATCACAGAGGTTTTTGTATGCAGTGCTTTTACCTAGCATATATTTTTCAAAGTAGTGTGCTCTGAAATTGTACGTAAGTATCTCAAGTAGAATGCTCCAAAGTTTGATAGTCTTTTGTTTTAAATGGGTTGTTTCTCCACCATGTTGTATCAGCAGTTTGAGGATGTTGTGTGACTAGTTGTTTGCAAGAAGCTTTTCAGTTATCAACTAGGAAACACCAGGTGGCCAAACTTGAAAGAAAGAGTTCTTCCAAAAAGAAGTAGGCCTTTGTGGAGAGTGAGGAATGATAGTTTGGAAGCTGTTATAACTACAGAGTAGCTGTTAATGATCAGTAGTTCCTACCTCTCTATAGCAATTTGCTGCAGTTTCCATGCAGCGTACTAGATCTAATTTATCCTTGGTCTCTTCCCAGACATGATAAAGGACTTTCTGAGGAGGTCATGTTTTGTTACAGTAAAGGCATAGAAAAAGCAGGAACTGAGTTTTGGTCGGAACATGGCTACTTTATGGGGAGGCAATGGCTGAGGCAATTGTGTGATTTAGTTGATGTTTGCAACTTCTTGTAAGCATTGTATCAACAGAGTACTCAAGTCTGTGCATGTGACTGTATTTAAACTTGTTGTTCTCTGGATAGACAAAATGAAATTAATGTGATGGTTACTGGTACACATGCCTCATAACTGCTGTTTGAATTGTAGTTTTCAATGAGCTTTACTCAGATATTCCTCCTTCTTCACTCACTTTCCATCTTCACTGGAGTAACTTCAAAACATACTGGTGCTGCTTTGAGCTCCCTAAAATGTAAAAGGATATGTTCACTATCTCAGAAGATGAAGGGAAAAAAAAATGACCCTTGCAGAACCCAGGATTTGTGTTCTTAGTGTTTTCTGTCTTTTATAACAGCTTCTTCCTTGGGCAAATCTACTTTCAAATTTAGCTAACTTGCTGTGAGAATTCATAGCATAATCTGAGTCCTTTTTCGTGATCTTTTACTGTGGTATTTTCTTCTCTTTGTTGTAAAATTTCCTTATATGGAGTCTCCATCATAAATGGCTGAAGGAACATGCCCTTGCTTTTGTTTTTCTTGTTTTCTCAATGTTCATAGAAAAGGTAGCTTTCAAGGAAGTAGAAACTGCCTCTCCTGGTTCATTATGGCAATTTCTGTCAGTGTTGCTGTTGTTTGATTGCACAGTAGTTCAGAGGGGTTTTTTTCTTAGAAGATTATACACACACACACACCCCCATCAGGCGTCAGCAATCTGTTGCAGAAGACCAACGCAGGTCTTGTAGGAAAGAGAAAGCTCTCTGAAATGCTCCAGATGCATGTGAGTAGAATCAAATTTCTTGATGAGAATGAATGTCTTTGCCAACCTCAAGGAAATCAGCAAGTTCTTGTTCCAAGTGCAGGTTGGCCTCTCTAGGAGGAGTCTGTTGTCACTATTGCTTCTTTTTTTTTCCACTCATATAAACTGACATCAACTAACTTGTCATCAGGTGCAGCTCATGGACACGTTTGCATTCAGGTAATACCAGCTTCTGTTTCCCTTCTCCCCATGATGTTCCAGGAGATGGCAAAGGCAAAGCTTTTGCTGCAGTAACTGCTGCAGATAAGTTGTGCCTCTTACAAACAGTTCTCTTCAAAGCATGGGTGTCTGGGTTCCAGTGTTTTATCTGCTTATGTTGCTGATGGTGTTACTGAAGTTGTGGTATGTAAAACTACCACTTATACATGTGGTAGTTCCTACCTGATATGATAGTTAGCTTTTTTCTTCCTAATTAAATGAAGAATATGTTTCTTTTGAGAGAATGAAGTATTAAGAATCCCTTGATGCTTTTCCAGAAGCATCTTGGCCATTTCTCTCTCTCTCTCTCCCCCATGCCACCTTGGGTTACTGCCTTTTTATGCAGACTGGTTTTGTTGTTGCTGTCAGAAAAAAAATGCTCTTAAGCCTCATTTTCCTAATGTTGATCTGAAGAAGTCTCTCTAGGTTGGTGTCTGCTTTCCACTTATTGTATTGGTTCTCTGATACCTTCAAACCTTAGATATTCATTCTGAATTTTAGATAGGTAGGAATCCTTAAGTCGGGGATAGAAATGGAAAACATCTAGTATGTCTACCAAGTTGAAAGTTGGGCTACAAGGTAAAAGCTTGAGAGGTGCTGATTTGGAGGGCATGAGAAAAATTAAGGATACAATCAAGACTGTGTGTTCTTTAAATCAACATGTTTTACCTCACCAGACAATGTCTTATGCTTCAGAATGCTAAGAGGTTAATTCTTCTGTTTCATGTTCTAGGAGTCAAAACTTTAGCCAAGTGTAACAAATTTTTTCCCCATTTTACTGTTAAGATGCTTCAGTAGCATAACATTATGCCTTCTTGGTATCAAGAATACCACCTGGTACTGTCTTTATGGTTTCTGTGGAGTTTTTGTTGAAGTGGTGTAACTGGTTGTTTGCAAAAGTTTTTGTGTGGAGTTACATTGTTGGTGTCTTGTGTTTTGGAATAGAGTGTAGCTAGATACACTTCTCAGTTCAAGCCGTCACAAACTTCTTGAGCTTTGTCAGCTGTTTGCATCATAACAATATTAATTCAGTTTAATCCACTCATCCCCCACTTCAGCTGTTTCTTAGAACCTCCAGGTTTTGTTTCAGATTTCCATTACATTTGTTTATGGGAGATACAGACCTCAGAGCTATCTGAACTCATTTGCTATGTTTCCTGTTCACACACGTTACTTTCATACACAGTTTCAAATGCTTAGACTGAATTTAAAAAGTGGCCTTGCCATCCCTGTTGATTGTCCTAATACCAGCTCCCACTACCAAGGGCTAATACATAGTTTTTGTATGCTTCATTAGAATTCAGACAGGAGTGAAAGGGAAGCTTCCTTTGAAACTCTTAGAACAAAAGGACAAATTTTTGCTTTGTGTTGAAAACAAATGGCAGGTGTTTTATTCAAACTAGAAATTCCTGATTGTACTAGCTGGAAGCTACAACTTCATAAAGTTGTAACTTGGTTGAACATGAGTGGTCTTACGATGGGACTTGAACTACAAAACAAGTTCTGAGATTTTGACAGTGTTTTATGCATGAAAGGGAATTTCCAATGGTGCTTTGCTTCTGTATAATTCTGCAATAGGTTTGTAGGTGCTTGCTGATACTAAAACAACAGTTTAATGCTGAATGTCAATTATCTGGTCTTTAAAAGAGCAAGCACAATGCTAACCTAAAAAAAACAGCTTCATGTGTTCTGCCAGTATATTTCTTAAAATACACTGTAACTCTTTTGGATTTATGTTATAATTAACTACAGAAAAACAAGGAGGTAGATGTCTTTTCATTATTGCCATAGGGAATACTTAATGAATATCTCTGTTTGACTAACACTCATTGAAGTATTACTTTCACATATGAAAATTTCTCTTCTTAGCTTTAGACTGTAAACAAAAGAAGTCAAGGTCAAGATCCGGAAGCAAGAAGAAAATGCTGCCGTTACCTCATAGTGCTGATGAAGTTTACATACTCAGATGCAGGTACATAGTGTTGCTTTAACTGGAAGAATACATTCTTAAGAGCTTACTAATGTTAGTCATAAAGAGTTTCATTATTGTATCCATAAATGTTTGTGATTAAATTGAATAATAACGGGGGAAAGGAATTGCCTGTTTTTATTAATTTGAACGAGAGGATTTGATTCAGTCACACCTGGGTGTTAGATTGCCAGTAGTTTCTCTGCCAGCTAAAATCTTGCTGGTTGTGTCTGAGTAATATTCTGTCCTTCAAAAGAAACCTTATATAAGAAAAACAGATTGTTATTACTGGTATTGAGTGTGAGAATGTGAGTTGTATAAGCTGCAGGATTTTGTGCTCACAGTTACTACTAATGAACTCAATTACTAAGTTTTTCAGCTAAAACATGTACAAACAAACTTCAAGAAAATTAAGACTTTTCCTCTTACTGTCTTTGTTTTATAATTTTTCAGTAGAGATAGATGTATCTTGATGGATTAATTTTAATATTTGCATAGGTTTTGTGGTCTGGTCTTTCGAGGACCTTTGTCTGTTCAAGAAGACTGGATAAAGCACTTGCAGCGACACATTGTCAACGCAAATCTTCCACGGACTGGAGCTGGCATGGTTGAGGTCACATCTCTACTTAAAAAGCCTGCTTCAATTACTGAAACTTCGTTTTCTTTACTGATGGCAGAAGCAGCATCATAGAACACAGAAACATTTTAAATTTTAATTGGATGTAAATTTGAAATACTTCATCATTTTTTAAAATAAATGGCTACACTAAATTATGTTTATAAATGCTAAAGAGAGAAAATAGAGGAAGTGGATTACAGTAACATCAAAATAAATTGAATACTTAACAGTTACAATAAGTAGTCTTTATATTTTATATAGGGTGGAAGATGTGTTTTTAAGGTTTATTATGTTTTTGTCAGTTACTGTGTTCACTATCAATACAAGACCATTATATGTATGGCAGCCATTTTTAAATTGTTGCACATGGGTACTTAAAGGACAGATTTTAATAAAACAAAGAAACCACGTTCTCTTCAGTGTTACCCAAATCAAGGTTCTGTTTATTCCAAAAAGAATTACATAGTAAAATAAGATACTATTATATTTTGTTTGTATGTATGTAGTGTTTTGTATAATACCAAGAACTGCTAATACATTTTACTCAACTTAGGGCATTAAATACCATGTACTTCATAGTTCGAGAGACTGTTTCGTTCAAATAGGGCAATTAGTACTATTCTATCTAGGTGTGTAAGTGTTTTTTTTAAATCACATGAGGCTTTTTGTACTAAAAAGTGGAGGGAAACTTGTTTAAACAAATTTCTAAGAGAAATATGTACATAATACTGGAAATTTGTGGTAAGGAAATATTCTTTACTTCAGTTGCATTTCTCACTGACAATAAAGTGGTGCATCCATGCTACCTCCTACTTGTCAACAAAGATGGTATTTACCCTTATGTTTTTGTATCATAGTAGATTCAATCCAACTTTCTTTATTACAAAGCATCTTTTTGTTAACAAGTTTGTTACTTTTATGACAATTTACTTAAAGTCTGACTTGCTTACAGAAGTTTGCCTCTACTATTTTATTTAACACTGTAGAAATGTACTAATAAGCATTGCTCACTACACGGTTAGAGTAGGCTTTTCATTTATAATTCTGTTTAAAAGATTGATAATTTTAGAGAATTCAAACACAGATTGAAATGTTTCCACATATGAAGAGAATGTTTACAACTTAAATTTTAGAGCTTGTTTTGGATGTGATTATATGTATGAAAACTGTAACACTATGCTCATGCTAAGGACCTACTTACAGAATTATTAAAATAAATGTGCTGTGAGGATGGAAATATGGTGCAGGTGTCTTGGTCATGATGAATTGTGTTTGTTCATTTAAACTGTCTTCAGAACATGATTTTTGTTTAAATCAAATTAGATTCCTCTACAAATCAATTTTGTATGCAAGTAACATTTCATTTTACTCATATAGGGTAACAGATACTGTAGTTAAGCCAAGGATATGCATTGATATTTTCTTTATATGTAAATAAAGTTAAAAGCAGTTAAAGCAAGAGGAGTATTTTGGTAGAGTATATACATACCTCACTGCCAGTGAAATTGCTTTCCTATGGTATATCTCCTTACCAGAAAAATCTCTAAATAAAAAGGTTTAAAGAAAATATAAATGTCTATAATGTGAAGCATTTATTTGCATTGTGTGAATTAAGTTTGTGGAATTGGTTTGTCTTGCTTGAGATTAGAACCTTCTCATGATCTTAAGTAAAAGTACATTTACTTGCAATAAACTGAATTGTTCACAGATGCATTACATTTGATTGGTGGAAAGTATGAATAAATGTCTGTCTTCCTGGATGCACAGAGTTCAGAGTTAACACATGAGGCTTGTTAATGTTCTGATAGAATAGATGGGCTAAAAATGCACAACTGTGCAAGACAGAGGCCTCAGACAAGGCCATCCTAGCTCTGTCAAGGCTGTCATTAAATTAGTGGTGTCAGGCATTTAACTGTACAAATTGCTACAGTTAAGTTTAGCTTTCTTGTTGAAATTTATTCTCTTGTAAGTGGAAAAATCTACATCATTACATTTAAAGTCTGGAGGAATAAATACTTTAGAGATTTTAGAAAAGATAACTGGGATGTTGAAGTGTACTGCAAACAAATAGTGTATGCAGACTAACAAATTTCTGAATTTGTGGATACATGTGGAGCTTTTTTATACGATGTGAAAACTGGAGATTTAAAGCAGTGTGTTGAAACAGAACAGAGGGAAGTGATCACATCACCTTGAATGTTTATAATGCTTTAATAGAGTGCTTGTTTACCCTTCTCACCAAAAAAGGTGCTTGTGAGAGCACCATATTTTATGGCTGTTTAGCAAATGAAAAAATCAATTAAGTGCAAATGATATTTATCTAGTGTTGTTAAGAATGCTTGTAAGGTGAAGCCATACCGTGCAGAATTTTGCATTAGCAAGAGACTCTTACTAGATTCATAAAAATAATTTTTAAAACCCTAGTTAATTCTATTTAATTAATAAGGCCCCAGTTGTGAGCTACTTTATGTAATACTAAAATAAAAATGCAAGGTTGTGTCTGAAGAGCAGTGAGCTCTAGGCTGATCAGTGTCCAAAATGAGATTCTATTGATGATGAACAGTTTTCAGCAACAGACTGTGTGCCCTGCTGGCATCAGATCCTTGTGGTATAGTTAAAAAAATAAGTAGGAGTTCTAGAACTCTTCTGATTATTAAATTAATTGTTTATGTGGTTGATAACAGGCTGAATAATCTTTTTTTAAAAATAGAGTACTATTAGCTGTTCTTAGCCTCTAGTCCTCAAGTGGGGCTATTTGTTTTCCTGGTTTCTGTTGTGTGGAAATACAGGTATTTTTTATCATTATCTACAAGGAACTATAAATCCCCCTCTCTGGAGTTACCAAAATTCTAAATAATGTAGTAGAAGAGGGTAAATTAAATGGGTCACTTTGTGATGCCAGTCTGATGTTGTGTGGCTTGAGGGGCTCTGGCAGTCTGTGCTAAAGGGCTGCAGAGCTGCTCATCTAAGCACCAGTGTTAGTCTGTTCAGGTTGGGGTAAAGGCTGCAGTGGCACAGTGATTTCTGTTGGGTTGATTTTGGTTCTTTATCACAGTCCTACTCATTTCTGAAGTTATCCTAGTATCTGGTAAAGGTCTCTTTAGTAGTAGCCTCAGGAAAATTGTAGACCACCCCCATACACTTTTCATAAGATGATGGCCTATATTCCCTAGTCCAGTGATATTTCCAAATCAATCCTCTTCAAAAAGTAAAACTCTGCATTCCTTGAAGAGATGTTTCTGCAGAACCTTGGGTAGGTGATGCAAGCGCCCATGGTAGCTGCTGCCCAGGGGTGGTGTGTTCAGGCATGGAGCATGGGGGTGAGCAGGCAGCACATGCTGGGCATTTACTGCGGTTTGCCCGGTCCTGTCCGTGTGTCCTGGGGAGCTGTGTGAGGGGGGCTGCTCCCAGGGCCGAGGGGATCCGGCTCTGCCTGCAGATCCAACTTCTTCCTCAGGGCCCGCCCTCTGCAGGCAGCAGTGCCAGAGGGGAGCTGCGGGCCCTCCCGCCCACAGGGGACGGACTGGCCGGGGCAGGACTGAGCAGGGAAGGGACTGACACGAAGGACTGACCAAGGGGAGGGACTGACATGCAGAACGACTGACCGGGGCAGGACTGACACGGAGAATGACTGACCGAGGGGAGGGACTGGCCGGGGCAGGACTGACCGTAGGGGCCGTAGCTGCCGGGAGGGGGGAGCGAGCGAGTCCCGGGCTGTGTGCCTGCGCTCGTTCCTGCTGTCCCAGCCATGCTCAGGGAAATCAGCGAGCTGTTTGAGGTAAGTGATCACAGGAGAAACGTGAATTATCAATTGGGGCTCAGAGAAGAGCATCCAGAGTTTCTAAAGGTCAGTGTCACAGGGCTGAGATGGGAAGATGCAATGTTATTTTGACTGTGATGCTTTTCCTGGGCTAGTTACAGTTCTAGGTTTCTTGCAGTGCTTTAAAGAGGGGTTATGCATTAAATCTACCTGATTCTGAAAACCTGCAGAAGATAAATTGGGCTGAACAAATGTGGAAATATTAGCAGTGAATAACAAGGACTTGCTTTTAACTAAATGGTTATGGGCTGTGAACAAACCCTGTTTAGTTCAGCACTATGGTTAACAAAATTTTTCACTTTTTATAACAGTAGTTAGTGGCCTGGATATTTAAACACCAGTCTCATATTTTAAAAATTGATTTATATAGTTTTGAGTTTGTTTAAAGAAAACCCCAAACTTTTTAGGGTGGTACTTACTTTAAAAAGCTGACTGCATTATGATTTGATATTTCAATCCACCGTGCTTTGTAGGTGCTGTTGCCTGATTCATGGGTAGCAATTGTGATGTAATGGAAACATTTGGCCATAGTGCCAGGTTTGTAATCTCTTGCAATAAAATGTTCCTTTCTAACACTGCAGGCTTCTTGGTGTTCTTCCCATTGCTCGGAGGTGAGCTGCACTGCACGTGTCACTTCACTGGGGAGTTCCCCCCAGCCAGAGCAGAGGGCAGATCTGCTGGCTGTAGCCACCTGAGAATTCAGAGAGGTGAAGCAAGGGGAGCTATTTACATGCCAGTGGTTGAGACTAGGGATGAAAATCGGTGCCAGGAATGCCACCAGAGCCAGGGACCCAAATCTGAAGCTGAGTCCCAAATGATGGTGGCTCTCATCTGTGCCCATCTGCCCACTTTTCACTCTGTACAGTCTGGTCTCACTGCTGCTTTCTCCACAGTTAAGAGCAGTTTTTCCTTGCAGCTTTGGCTGTGCAGTGTCTGCCACATGTACCTGGACAGAGCACACTGAATAACCCAGTCTGCCTGGTGCTCTGCAAGTCCTGGGCTCCTCCTGCAGCATGAGAGGATCCATTGCCATACCACAGCCATTCACACACACTGTAAGAGAAAAATGCAGAGGTTGATCAAACACAGCATAAGAGACTGTTGAGGGACTTGTTTGCTTTAAATAAGGGCTGGAGTGGGGATCCCTTCCATGTTTTGCTGAGGCTGAACTCTGGCACTGTTCATTTTCATTTCTAGTTGCACTATAGGCTAATAAACTTGTATTTTAAAAAGCAATTAAGAAGTCTCTTAACTTTAGTGCCCTTATTAAGATTGAGCACAAGTCAGCCAACAACCTTTTTATAAAACTGCTTGGTAATACTGAATATTTTTATAAAACTACTTGGTAATACTAATTCCTCTACATCAAGTAGAGGAACCTTGTGGTCCAGTAGCTGGTGGGTGGCTGCAGTGCTTACCCCTCAGGGAAGTGGTCCTGGCTGCCCTGGCTCATGGGCTCCAGAATGGCAGTGGAGGGATCTGGGCAGTGTGTCACTGACTGTGGGTGGTTTGCACACATTTCCTGAGGACAAACATGGAGTTATTTTGGCTAAAAAAACCAAACCCTGGAATAAAGGCATTCCTGTGGGAATGTTCTTCTCTAAGTAAATGCAAACTTTTTAATAAAAGCCCTAAAAGATCTTTCTCATGCAGGCTCCCGTGCTCTTTTCACTGCAATTAAAACCCAAGCAAATGGCATTCTCACTAACAGTGAGTCCAGAGGTTCCAAAATTCCAACTCTTACTGTACAGTTAGGGAACAAAGGAGCCTTGGAGCCTTTTCAGACCTTCCAAGGTGCTTGTACTCCTTATGTTGTATAAATCACAACACTTCTGGGCTTTCTGCACTATTTTTTCACTCAAAACTACACTTTCAACTCATAAGGTCTGAGGTTTGTCTACCAAGTGATGATAACCCTTCTGCTTTTGTATTAGAGACCTGCAACATGAAACATGCTTAGATGATACTCATGGTAAGTGTTCCTAAATACTATCTACCTCTTTTTAAAAATCAGTTTATTGGAAACTGAAAACTTCACATGTAAACCTTTGATTATGTATCTTTAAGTCAGCAGCAGCATGTTTATCTCTCTGTGAAACTTAGCCAAATCCATCCTCACTGCTGTAGGAACAAATGCTGGAGCTCTGAATCCCATTGTGCTCTTTAAAACAGCTTTGGAAACTTGTAGACTGATAAAGGGAAAACACACACCATTAGTCTGTGTTTTAACCAAATAAGGAATAGTGTGTCACCCAGGTGCAAGTCTTGCTGACAAGAAGTAATTCTTTCATCTGTCTTTTCCCTGAAAAAACTTAATTGTGTGAAAGTGGGAAAAAGAAAACAGCCTTATTTGGATAAAAAAGCAGGAGATAAAAATCTTTTAAAAACAAACAAAAACCCCATAGGTTGAAAGAGAAACTGCAAAGAGGAGAAGACAGTATGAGCCTGGGGTTGGCACCTGTTTTGAAATCTAGCTGATGGCTGCCTTTGCTGTGCCTCCAAAGCTTCAGGGGTGCACTTGGGTTCCTGGCACAGAGGAGGCTAGGGCAAATATAAATCCATAGACACTTAGTCCAGTCATAAAATAACATTAACTGCTGTTCCCATGTATAGCCTCAGTTACAAATTTGCTACTGAAATCTGATTTTTCAGGTTCTGTTCATGACACATTGCCATTCATTGCCTCCAAAAATTTTCTCCTTTCCTATTTGGCATCCATAATTTGCAGCATTCTCTTCTCACTGAAATAACCTCCACTGCTAAACCCAGTGTTCTCTGACTGCAGCTGACCATGAGTGCTAATAAATGAGTGAAGACCCTGACCCAGAATGTGAGTGTTCTTGCAGGATCCCAAACTCATTTCTTTGCCCTCAGGCCCAGGTTCCCATCTGGGAGC